ACGCAATTTGACTGTCAGCTGTTTTCTTAATACAGGTATTTGCAACTTAGAAATAAATTAGATCTTTTTTCAGTAACGACATAAGTTTTTGTAATTATGTATAAAAGTTTATAATTAATGTTCTTTTAAACTCTTTTCGATTATTGCGTAATCGCTTTCAAATTGTCAAAGAATTTTAACAGTTTAGGAAAGAACTATTTTCAATTTTTTTTAGAATTGTGTTTATTGTTAGTTATATAGATTGTTTATAATATCAATGACAATATATCGATAAAAGGGGTTGGACACATGGAGTGTGTTACATAAACTTTTCTAAATATAATTGTCAGAAATTATACTAAATATTACTTGCAAAACATCAGAGTCTGTTTCCATAAATTGATTAAAAATACTTCTAATTTATTTTATAAAAACAACCGTCTAGAAACATAAATTTAGAAACTAGCTTCAAAAAGTGTGCTTGTAAAGAAAACTACACACTGATAAAAATAATGCAAAACTATTGTTAAGGAGAAATGTAATTTTTTAAATAATTATATCTATCATACCAGACATTTGAATTTGTTAGTTTTATCTCTATTGCTTTTTATTTTGCAGATTTGCCTTGTTACGCGATGTCTCGTTCAAACACCTTGAGTAATGTTACCATAATAGTTTGGCCTTTCGTGATTCTCGCTATATTATTAGTTATAGGTCTGATAGTGGCAGGATATTTCATGTATCGCAAACGTCAAAAGAAGAAATTGGCTACAGGTATTCTTTAAAATGTGTTAATGACATAATTTATAATAATTTTACGTTTTAACAAAAACGTAACTAAAAGATAGTTACGACATCGTATTTTGAACTGTATGCATAAAGCGTGATAACAAATTATTTAACGTGAAGGATAAGACAAACGCTCGCAGCTTGCGCGATATCAAATAGCTTTTACGACACTTAAATAAAGGGCTTTATAATTAATATTTTATTGTATTCTAAGCGACAACGAGATAACTATCTTGAAATATTTGATTCCAGCAGGTACATCGACAAACATTTTTGTGCGAGAATTTCTCGCTACCGAGATTTTGTTGCCTGACATCTAACTTTAAAGGAGACATCAGTACGAAGACTGCAGTTAAGAAAAATAGACTGCAGTAGTTGTGATAATGATAAATAACAGTTGTTGTAGTAATGATGTACTAGATTATATTTTATTGTTCCTTCTAAAATGTATAAAATGTGTAGATAATTAAACAATCTTTTTGCGCGTGTTACAATTAAATTTTCCTTAAATGTCCGTAAGTTTTAATTATTATTCTTTATATTTATACACACGAAAACGATGAATAAGGAATTTTCTAACGTAATTGCAATACGCGTAAACAGATTGTTTAATTGCATGCACTTTCCAAGTCGGTTCAACTTTAAATGAAAAACGTCGTACAACACAATTCTACGCGAATTTCATTAGTAGCTTGGTTGCAACGAGCTTGAATGTCATGTGATTATTTAGCATGGAAAATGTTCAATTATCTTTCCGTTGCGCTTTTCACTTTTTCGCGCACTGGATTATCACGGTATATTTGTTGTTAGTGAATAAATTAATCTGACATAAATTTTAAATAAGTTGAATGCGAGACTATATAATTTTTTAATACGCTTAGAAAATCTCACAGCGAAGTTTTACTAGGGCAAGAAGCAAGAATTCGTTGCTTAATTAATATGATATTTAGCAGTTTGTTTCTTTATTTAGCCAACATTTTTATATATATGATTAATATATCAATCTCACAACGATCCGAAACGTGGTGAAAACATACAATAAACTCGACCACAATGCAATCTAAATTTTAAACCGTTTCGGAAAGCAAATTTTCCAATTAAATTATGAAATGTTTTTATTCTATGTTAAAAAATACTAACTAAAAATACTAAATAATCAGCAATTCGAATTCTTTAGTCCGTGCGTATTCACATTTACATACTTTTATCACGCGTCCTTGTGAATTTCCTTTAATTCACAAGATATCGCATAAAAGACCCTGCTTCTCCTCACGAGACATAAATCAATTACGTGACCCACTAACGATTTCAACAAACGACTCTACGTGCAAACTGCGTTATCCGCCATTGCAGCGGCGAGCTTGTACATAGTAAAATTACATACAATCACTTTAGCATGAAAGGTACATGTTATCTTCGCACCTCTGCTTCGCTCTCTGCTCTTTTCCTCTTTCTCTCTCTCTCTCTCTCTCTCTCTCTCTTCTTCCCTTCCTCCCTCTCCCTCCCTTTCCCTCTCCCTCTCTCTCTTTCTACCCTCTCGCGTTTCTCGCTTCATCTCGCTCCATGCGCAGTTTGTTGCATCGCAGTTTATCGGCGGGATAGACGATGGCGTAATCTGCCTTCCGATCGACAAGCCGTTAATGAACACGTGGACAGATCGCGATTCCCACGTAGCTCTTGCATGGCGTGTCAGATCGCGATAACTGCCGCGACTGCAATCGATATTGCGCGCGGACCTAACGCGGGCGAGTTGCCTGCCGGGCGAGAAAAATGAAACGGTCCGTTTTTGCAGCCGTAACTCGGTGACCCGCACGGTGAAGAGGAAAATACGCGTCGAGTGGTCTTGCGATAATATCTTCGGCAAACCGTAAGCGTTGGAAACGATCCAAGTGCTTCTTGCGCCCTTTTAAGGCGTTCGTTGTCGACCGTCAATTTCTTATAATCGTGATAAGAAATGATGGTATCGCGGTATGAAATATAATTCCTTTTATTTCCCGTGTTATTTAGTGTCATCAAATAATGATTGTAAAATGGCCTCAAAACTTTTGCAGATGTTAAATAATATTTGAGTGTTAGATAAGTCATTACACTTCTAATATTTCTTGAGGATTTATTATATGTAGGTATATATATATATGTATATATATGAGTGAGAAGGGAACACATATATACACACATTTGAAAATTATTATACATATTATACACAAGATACATATGAAGTTATTAATTGAACAAATTTTGAACGATTTTCTCAGAAGGTATGTATATTTCATAAAATTAATGTACCAAGGACTTAACCAGTTTATTGAATCAATATTTGAATCTACTTCAAAAGATGATTTTAATTAAATATGATGGAAAAATGAGTGCTTTTATAGAAAGATTTAAAAAATTAGGTCAGCTATAATAAAAAGATAGTGCATCGCGGTGACCGAATTAAGCTATCCTCTTGTCTAATGATGATAAAATCATTCAGCTGTCGCAAAAATTATCTATGCAGATCTCGTTGCATAAACATTTAAAAATTATGCTGCACGTTCGTCATTATCAAGTATTTAAACATAAGAATCACAATTATTATTTAACTTACTTTCGTCAAACGTTTATTTAATATTATAAATTTAAATCAAAAGAGTTCTAAATAATATTTCATAATACTTCATTGAATAACATATTTGTGTTTGAAAGATTAGATAATTAAACTTATTTTTCTGTTATAATTATGTTTAATAATTATGTCCAAGAACTGTAGCAGAGAAGATGTTCGATTAAAAGAACGCGTTTGAAAATACGCTTCTTTTCTGCAGTAATATAAGCTCGGAACGAACATAAAATAAGAATATAACGCGCGCTTTAATTGAAATGTTTCTAGCTCGGTAATTCACATAAGGAAAATGCTATCTCGAAACAGAACTACGGCAGTGGCTTTCTTAAATAAAAAAAGAAACATCAAATTCACAATAGAACCAGACTAAATTGTGGTCTCACGTTCTCGCTCGTTCTTCGCGTGCACTCGATTATACATATTTAAAAAGAAAAGGAGGAAATGTTTGTCTCTCAAACTCAAATGATTTGTAGGTCGCGAACTTTTTCAAATAAGAGTCCTTTGCCATATGCATGCATTTTAAATTTTAATGGTACATTATACAACCCGTTCGTTTGTCCTTACAAATTTTTAAACAACTGCATAATGAACAACAAAGGATTTTATCGCCAGTTGTACATTGCAAAAAAAAAACATTTTTTCATGGCAGATTTAAAATTCCGCCGAAGATTTATTAAATACATAAAAAATATTAATTATTAATACGAGAAATTTGGTATATTTTATCTCGTTGTGGGAATATATTACTTTTGTGAAAATGATCTCTGTGTTTATCTATATATGTATAAAGTGGCGAAGGAGATTCTCCCATATCGACGCGCGCATATCATCGATCTTAGTTACGTATTGTAATGCCATTTCTGTGCGGAAGAATGATTCTGTTAAGAGCAAGTCGCGCGCGAATTGTGCCGATTTCCGATCGTGATGCTGAAAATGGATATCGCGCAATAATTAACACGAATGTCGCGTTACTCTATACAAAGACGCGGACCGTTTCATTATTTCCCCGTAGCAAATTAATCGCTATTTGAACTTTGGGCTTTGAATGAGAGAGTGTGGATCCGCGGCGACCTACGAAATTAAATTCCCGATTCCTAATTAACAGGATTTCATCACTGGATGGCACGACAAAAACTTCTCTGGACTGAAACCGATGTTATCCGCGGAATTGAATCACCGCCCGGAGCAAGCCCACAGCTCGATCGATCAAACGCACTTTTCTGTCTTGTATTTCTTTTTTCGCATAATACTAACGCATTCGTAGCAGAATTCCTGCGGTTTACGGATACCCGGCTTCCTCAAAGACATAAAATCACTCGATAGTAATTACACAAACGTTAAGTATCTTACGTATCTTTAATTATTGCATAATCTAAGAGTAATAAAAAGAGAAAATTATTTCTACGTGGAACGCGAAGGACAGATAATCACTGTATACAAACATGTAAAAATGTCATTTTGACAGTATTACGGATTTAAATAGCAATAATTTATACATTTTCCGAGCGAAGGATGTAGAAAAATATTAGGAGACAATAGATAATCAATGAAAAAAAGATAGTAATACCAGAGATAAAAATTAACACATGTATTATTCGGAAATATCTTAATTCATAATAAGGCTTACCAAGATCACTGTCGACATCATGAATAACGATTTTGATGCCTTCCCCGTCGACCAGACTTCCCTGCCTAGGCAATTCACGTTCTTCAGCTGCAACCCTGCTAACAGCTACCGCAGGGGCACCTTTCGCTCCTGGTTGAGCCGAAGTTAACGCTCTTATCGCGTTTATGTCGGGTCTAAAATAACACATAAAAGATCCATGTTATATTAGTGAAAGCTTTTTAAAAATAATTTTAATAAATTTTTTTATACTTTAAGAAAGATATTTTTTTATATCCTCTAAAAAAGGAATTTAAAGATATTTTTAAGTTAATTGAAATTTATATTATTAAAATTAATAAAAATAATGGCTATAATAATGTTCATTTCTACCAATGTAGAACTTCAATCTCTGTTCAACTTACTTATTTTTTTAATTCTTAAAACTAGAAAAAGATAAAAAATCAACTAAACCGAGATTAAAGTTAATCTACATTGATAGAAATGAACATAAGACAGCTTTGGGTATTTAAGTTATAAGGCATTTACTTGCCAGATTATTGCTAGACATTACCGGAATCAAACTTATTTGATTTACAAACTTTGAGTATGTATAGTACAAAATTGTTAGTATATTGTAGCTTTCCATTTTGAAGTTTTTTATTGATCCGCCTTAATTATCCGCCAGCAAACAAAATAAGTAGCACATTACTTGATTGATGCCTTAAAAATCGTTTCGAAAACCGCTAAAGCTCTCATTGCCATAAGCATGGACGTAAGCCGATTTAAGCGACCGATTATACCCATTATGCGGATTAGGCGGATTCGGATCCTTATGGGTTAAGCCGCAAGATTGATATTGACTGCCCACATTGAAACAAGTTTTATTATTGCGAAACTATCTCGGAATAGCCAAGACAAGCTTAATAATTTTGCCAACGCTCGGGGCGAAACTCGAAAAATGTTACATCCAATATCGACTTTCGGCTTTCTTAGTTAAAGTTGCGATAATAACCGCCGAGAAATATTGTTTTACTTGGTAAATATCAGTATATATGTTGACTATATTGATTCTAAAATTAACTTTTAACAGTTCTAAATTTCAACGCTATTAAATAATATCTGTATTACTTATTTGTACATCTAGATGATGTAGTTAATTTTTTTGCTTTTGAGTATTTATTTGAAATTTTAACTTAATTGAAAATAATGAAAAATATAAATTTGGAAAATTTAACGAATAATTAAAAATATATCAAATTTAGAAATTGATTTAAGTCACAGATTATTGCAATTATTTAATAATCAATTTTAAACATTTCGGTATTTATTATCATACCTATCACTTAAATTCAATCAATATTTATTTAATTTCAGCTATACAAAGCCATGAAATGGACTTGGTTTACAATATACCTTAAACACACTCATACCAACTTTTTTACCTTAACGCGTGACATTGTTAATTCCTTATTCCGTATTTTTTAATTTCTTCTAGAAAAACTATCCTTTAATTAAACCCCAACACGCCTAAACCTATTATTTACACGTTAAACTCACAACCTAGACTCAGAAATACTTGACTTAGTCCGCTTCGGCAGTATCAAGCCAAGAAACGGACATTATTCACCTATACACATACACATACCTTCTAACCGCAACGCGCAACAACTAATATTCCCTATATTTTTTAAATTCTTCCCAAATCTATTTTAGACGCATATCTCGCTTTGTTTCTAAAATAACCTTCCTTACATCCTACTTTCTCTTTATCCCTACCTTTACCTTAATATTACAACTATTTCCTGTTTTTTAACCATATCTTAATATATTAATAATTCTTTACCTTTACCTTCAAATATTGACGCAACTCTCTCATCTTACAATACATATAATAAACTTATGACTAATAACAAATCTCTTGCTACCTAACTAATGCTATCCTATATCCCCAAGTCCTTCCGAACTCATCACACCTCCTTACATATGCCCTTGCCTCCTCTTTTTTCTTCTTCCAATAGCATCACTTCTGTGCTCTCGAATCGCTCCGTTCCTCTTCATTATTTGCCAAAATCCTCTACACTGCTTCTCATTCGGTCCTAGTAAATTTCCTAGCAAATTTCCTCCCAGCTCTTCTTCTCTCGTTCTCACCGAAGCAACATATATTTCCTCCTCGCACGTTTGTTCTCTAGTTATCTTCCCATGCCTCCTATCTACCGTTGCATAATTAATATACCTGGATTCGCCTCCGTGCCGTTCAAAGATTCTGATATTTCCAGAAAACTGCTGCGTCCTTTAAACAAGCCTTGCGTGTCCACCTTCTTTTACCTTTCCTTTCCTACCACGCAGACAAGTTTCGCCAGTCCTTGTTCCAGGAATACGCCAATAGCTTTCCTGTACCTTTCTTCTTTTCATCTCATCTCTTCTTTATCGTTGGCTTAACCTTTCCTCAGCTATGCTTATCTTCTTTTACTTTCCATTTCCTGGAACACCTCTAGGCCCGCCCATCCTTGTGTCCTAGCTTTATTTCACCTTTCTTCTTTCCATCTCCATTGACACGGAACTCGAGAGATTTTTGACTGCTTGACTTTCTTCTTCCTTCTTCGACAATCCTCTTCACATTTAATCCTCCCTTGTTTCGTATAGCCTCTTCTATAACAGCGCTTCTTTCACCAACCTCTTGTCCTCTCCTCTGTTTTCTGTCCTTTACCTCTTTTTCCTTTTCTTATTCTTGATCCAATATTTCCTATTCTAAAATTTGTCCCAATCTAAGATTCACATGTGTTCTGAGTTCAGAGTTCAACCTGTCATCTTTTCAACTATCTTCCTAACCTATACTTAATTCACGACCGAAGGCTCCTTAGCTAATCATTTA